GTTCCACCTCAAGCTAACTTTTGTCGCTCTTAATTTCACAAATCTTATACATAAATATGGGATAACTTGCTAAACAGATGTAGCTCTTCTTTTAAAGGTTTTTACACGTTTTATCTTTCCAAATTTAACCGATTTTGGGAAAAAAAAGTATGAAGCTCTCAGAGTCATTTCATATAACTCTTCTAATATTTGGCCTGACTTTACTTAAAGGTCCACTCAGTAAGATGTGTAGTGAGTGAAATGATGAAGTGATCTTACTATCTGATCAGACATTAAGGAAACATGCTATGTTGAAGTGCTGGCTTCTCTGACAACAATGCAGCAGCCAGTATGTCCTCCTTCTAACTTTAGATTCTGCTCCTGAATGCTCTGGATTTGTTTGGACCAGAGAAGGTAGGCGGTTTTAAGGCGACCCCCCACATGGCCGTTTTGGACACCCCTCAGTTGGCCAGATATGAGAGCAGTTATCAGGTCAAACTAACAAGAGAAGTGGTTCAGATAGAAGTGATTGTACCCGACCTAAAAAGCCTCTGCATGTTTCTAATAAGCTCCACGAGCAGAAACGTGCTCAAACTAGGATCAATATTGGAGATGCTTTTGAAAAATGGAGAGAGGTTAGAACACAGAAAGGTTTACAGACCCATGCAGAGCTGGATAAACACTGAAGCTTCAGAGTCCACCACATGGTGACCTGTGTGAGCATGGACTCTAGAAAGGAGGGGGGGGGGGGACAGCTCTCTAAAATGTTTAGAATTTGGACTGCAGTACCCATTTTAAACACTAGGGGTCAAAGTTACATACTGCTCCTTTAATAGTAAGAACCTGGACAACCTCTAAGTAAGAGTCTGAATTTAGCCGGAAAGGGATTTTAACATTCGCTACAAGACGTAAAACACTCTAACATTCACTGTTAATACAGTTTATAATAAGAATAAGAACACACTGGGCTACAATGCTCTTTTTTTCTAATCAGAAACCGTTTTGAATCACTATAAACTCCTTTTAGCTGGGAGCGCTTACTCTTTATGGCGTTCCCCTGTAGCGTCTCCAGGAGCAGACTGTCCCGTTTCCAGCTGCCGGTGTCGTTTCACACGGCGTCTGCAGATGCCACGGCGGCTCAGGAGGAAAGAGGAGAGGATGTGAAGAAGCAGCAGTTTAATTGGGCTTGCAGCAACACGGAAATCCAGTCTGAGATACAACGCGCATCAATAAGTGATGGCGCTCTGCGGGCCTGTAACAGCCAGCATGCTCACTGAGATTGTGTTTACGCACACGTGGAAGAAGGCCTGTCGGGTTTTGTGTTTGTGCATAGATTATATTCTGCACAGTTCAGAGACTCACCTGGTGTCTTTTGAGTGGGCGTTTATGGGAATGACTCTCCCATTAAGTACACGCTTCTGTCTTAATCTGATAAATCCAACGACCATTTCTTCTGACCATCAGCGTTCCAAATTTTGGTACAAATGAACACTTTTACAATTATTTTCCTTCTTGACACCAGGATAAAATCTAACATGCATTTTTTTGTATTCATACCTAGAAGTACCACAGCAGTGTGGCCTGGCACAGATTTCCTGTTGTTGTTATGGAATTTGTGATTATTTTGGCAGCTATATTTTAAATTTAGTCTCAGACCTTGGCGAGCTTTACTTTGAAAGTCTAACCAGCCTTTACATATTCCTCATTGCTAACACTACTTTTTTAGCCATCTTGCCAAACTGAAGCTAAAGGGCCACTAACCAAGCTGCTGAATTTGGCATTGACCGATATTTAATTACTTTTTTATTGTCAGTGGAGTCTGGTGCATTGAAGAGTTGGATGTTACGGCTGTTGCATCTTCCCCCCTGAACAAAAAGGTTCATCTCTGTCGGGATGCTTTCTGTAATGATGTCAGACACTTAAAATTAAAATCTGAACCTCTCACTGAAAGAAAAACAAACAAGAAGTAATAGTTGACACACTTTGATCAGGTCCATTTTACCAAAGTTATGTTGCAGCCATTACAGCCTATTTCACACTTTCCAGCTGACGCACTCCAACAGACCAAAAACGTATCATACCTAGAAGTCATTTAGACCCACACCATGAAAAATAAGTTTTAAATAAGCCGATTTCTTGAGCACAGTGCAGCGAAAGCTTTCTGTTTGTGGATCAGTTACTCTTCAATGGCTCGCACAGTGGGCTATGTGGATATATTTAATCATTCAATTATGCATGAATCTTTGCATTAATTACATATTCGCATAATTCATATTCAGTCAGCCTTCTACTCAGAGAAATTATCTGGCATGGTGTCCAGATGTTCAGCTACAGTATGATAATCACAGTATGAGGAAAAGAAAAGCTGCACGAGGCAATATTTAAATGGAAATTCTGTGGAAGTACAGCTGTGTGATCTCGTTAAAATAAGAAGTGAGGCTGAAACACACAAAAAAGCCAGTTATCATAACGCTCCTCAGTTTACTCACAAACAGAGTTTTTAACCAACCAGCTTTATTACCTGCAAACAACATGGGTCCCAAATGCAATCCAGAAAAAAACATCTGAAACACCTTTAGACCTTTGTAAACATTAGTTGCAGTTATCAGTATTGGGCTGATGTTGTAATGTTATCCTAAGAAGAAAAATAGCTCCAGTTAGTTCATCGGACATCATGCCCATCTTTGACATTCAACTTTAAAGGTGACATATCCTCCTCCTCTTCAACCAGTTTAAATAAGTGTCAGAGCTCCTCAAAACATGTCTGTGAAGTTTCTTGTTCTAAATCCACTCTGATCCTGTATTTGATAATGCCTATAAACCCCTCTATTTCAGTCCTACTCAGAACAGGCTGTTTCTGTGTCTGTACCTTTAAATATGTAAATGAGCTGTGTCTGACCACGCCCCCCTCTCTGGAAGGGCTTGGGTGTACTCGGTGCTTTCTCGCTCCATGTCCTATTGTTCACGGTGAGAAGGCAGACTCAGAGGGCAGAACAAACACCTAGCTGTGGGAGTATCACCCACCTGGGGGAGGGGCTACTGCCCTTTGTGATGTCATGAAGTGAAAATCTCCAAACGGCCTGTTTGAGCACACATTTTATAATTAATTATTATTAATTATTCTCTTAAGTTAATGAACAGCTCCTCTATCGTAGTCTAAAAGTTCGGCTTTGGCAGTCTATTCTTGACCTTATAATCAGCAGAGAGACAAGTTGTTTCCAAGGCCAACAATGAACCAGTTTCAGTAGGAGAACAGGTGGGCTGCAAGGGCACACACTGGAACATTCAGGTGTTGAGATGTTCCAGTTGATACCAAACTACCGGACTACCGGATCCAATAAAGAGACAGCAAGTCAACGAGGAAAAAATCTAACCAAGATGACTTTTCAGTGTTTAAGTGTGAGATTGGTAGAGACATTTCTTTCAGGTCTGATTCTGTGGCTGGTTTAGTGTAGAGTCTGACTCACTACACAGGTTCAGGTTCAGGGTCAGGTTCAGGTTTGGGATACATTATTTGTACCCGTCTGTAGATTTGTTTGCAGCCAGCAGGATCGACATCCATCAAGACACACAGATGACAAAACAGATAAACACATAAAAGAGAAGAAAACGATTTAAAACGAGGCATGTCGGCCTCTTTAGTGACCAAAAGGTCCGTTTTAAATCACTTTGTGTGTTACTTTTTTTCCTTTTGGTCAAGGGAATATCACATAGAAAATACTGTAAAGAAGTACTGTTCAGCTGCTCGAGACCTGGAGATTGTACCCTCCAAAAGATGAGTCCCACTAGTTTCTGCTCTGTTATTGACAAAGTAGGTACAGATGCCGCGGATCATCTTGATGTTGATTGGTCAGTGAGGGGATGAAGTGACATTGACAAGCATGTAAACATTTTACACCCAGAGCACTGTGAGTACAGCAACAATAAACAGCAGACACAGAGGCGGTTGTTGATAATTTTTAATTTTTTTGAATCTTTCATCTTGAGGTCAAAATGATGACGGGATACAGAAAGTTTTAGAATTCCTCAGAATATTGCTTCACAGGACATTGACATCTTTGGAGGAAAATTTGCCTGATTAAAAAACATCTTATTTTTGCCCGAGGTCAACTCATTTTATTATATATTTATTATATATATTTCATAGTCTCCCTAATTATGACTTTTTTTTGCTAAACAGAAATGTTTTTTTGAAAACAAGAAACAGCTGATGATCCCGAAATGCATTGAATTTATAGAGAAAATGGACGCTACCAGTGGAAAGAAACAGTGTTCAAGGACACAGGACCTTATCAGGCAAAGGATTATATTCAAGGTCACTCGAGTGTCCACTGGAGGCTGGGAGCAAAAGCCACACAGAAGTCCAATTAGGATAAGAGTTATGCATAATTAGGGGCCTGACAGGTGGGCACGTTGAAGCTGTTAACCAGGAAGCTTAAGACGCGCTTCACCTCCACGTCTTTCTTGTTGCCATGTTGGCTAAACGTTAGTTAGACAGCTTTTCCAACATGGCGACCGCTGTCATTGGGCTCCAAAACGTCATAAACCAATGTGAGGCTACATCCATGTTTTACACAGTCCACTGGAGCCTGGAGTGAAATGTAGAGCGGCTTTCAATGCCTCAAACACTGTGAGCATAATAAACCATGCATGAGCAACAACAACCACAAATCCACCAGTGAAGCCGTCTGACACAACGTTTGAGTTATTCCACACTTTCACACGTTACACTCCAACACACAGCCTATGGTCCTTCACCTCCCTCCATGCTCCCATCCAGCACTCCATCCATTCCCAGCCTGCTGTACTGCATATTCCACCATTTTTCCCCTGTGGCAGCTCCGAAGCAGGTTGGTGGGTGTTGAAGGTGGGGGGGGGGAGGGGGCTATAAAACAAAAGGGTACCCACAGGGAGAACAGGCTTGTTTTTTTTCTTGCCCATAACATTTGGACAGGGGGAAGCCATCTGAAACCCATTCTGATCTCTCTCTTTTTTTCTGTTTTCTGCTTTTTCCTCCTCAGAGGTCCTTCTGCAGTGCCATGGTGGACGAGCTGAGGGTTTCTCTGAAGTGCCAGCGCCGCCTCAAACACAAACCCCAGCCACCCGTCATGGTGAAAACGGAGGAGGTCATCAACATGCACACCTTCAACGACCGCAGACTGCCAGGGAAAGAGACCATGGCGTAACATGGGAATCGCAGTCGCTTTTTCACCCTCTCTCCTCCAGTGAGGAGTTCTGCAGAGACACTGGGGAAAGGGGTGGGGGTAAATGGTAAAAGGGGGGTCATAATGGGGTTGTTATATCAGACCGTTGGGGTTATTTTTGAGTGTAGAGCAGAGGTGCTTGGGAAGGATATTGACGAAATGTCAGTCTTGTTTCTTTATTAATAGCTAGGGTTAAGAGATTCAACAATATTTCCTGTGGAAATAACTTGAACCTGGGTGAAATTTTAAGCAAGTTACCTCATTACTCTTACCACCTTGGCAACACGGCGAACTACAAGAGCCAGGATTTTTAAAAACCCAGGAGACAGAGAGGGAGAGAAGTCAGTCCAGAAATAAATTCTAAATGAGGGACAAAGTTTGTCTCTTTAATAAAAAAGAAATCAAGAGAATCGGACCTATCGTGTTTTTGCTGCTGCTCAGTCAGCCTCTCTCTCCGCACAGCTCATGAAGAGGCTGGCGGAGCAGCATCAGAGCAGCTCAGAGATTACTAGTGAAAATATAAAACAATCGGGAGGAGAGGAAAAGTTTCTAATGGATTGTTTATTTTTAAAAAAGCTGTGAATAGAAAGGATGGCACCGGCTTCTGACTAACCAGAATCCCGAAGACGATGACGGTGAGCTCGGCTGCTGCTCCCAAAATGTATAGAGAGGCATCGCTTAGCCACATATGATATCGACCCACATGATAAATTGATATACTGTATATCATCCATCAGGCAATAAGTGAAATCATTTATTTGTGTTTCAGAGTACTAACACTTTTAGTCTTTAATGTAGGGGGAGGGGGGGGGGGGATTTTAGAGGCTCATTATATGGGGACATATAAGCTTGGAGTAGGGGGCAAATATAGTGAACTGTGGATGTCCATGAAGTCATTTAAATCTGCGAGGATCTGCGGAGGTACACGCTCTTCATGTGAATAAAAGAGGAACCTTGGAGTCTAAATCACAGCAGTTACACAACACACAAACTCTATTTATTCAAAGTATTTATTGTTTTTATTTATGAAACTCTTTATTTATATCTCTACGGACTGGACTCTCACTACTGCCGTAAAAAAAAAAAGAAAAAAAGAAACACCTCACTTTTTTTTTTCTTTCTGTTTGCTCACTGTCAAGTCTCCAGTTTCATTTTGTACCTCTGTGGCTTCGTTCAGTTCTTTTCTTTTCTTTTATTTCTTTGTCAGCAAAGCTCCACATTTACTTGTGCAAATGCAATTTCTATAAAACAAAAAAAAAGTGTTTTTGTACGAAGAGATCAAAACTTTTGTAATGATTTTTATCAACACACAAAAACCACAACCATGAGGAAGTGTCATCCATGGCAGACGGGTGGAACTCCAGGCGGGTGATGCAGGAGGCTTCACGAGACACACTCACACACACACATAAATAAACACACACACACACACACACAGGAGTGCAGGGTGCACCCATCCTCCATGGAGCAGTTTCACACCTATTAGTACTTCTATTAGTACGGAGCATCAGTGACATAATGTTGTTTTTGGAGAGGAAGTCAAAAGAAACTATTTTTATCATGTAAAGGAATCATATTTAAAGAAAGATATTTTTACTTCACATGAAAGAAAAGTCATGAAAACACTGGTGGAAGTGAATATTAAGTGCACACACAGAGAGAGAGAGAGAGCGAGGAAGGCCGCTGATGATGCTTATCACTTCTACACCCCCGACTACTGACAGACCGCTAGGATCCAGTGCTGAGCAATCGTGTGTAAATGGTTTTGAAAAAGGAAAAAGATGTATTTAAAAAAAAAAAGTTATTAATAAAGAACACTTAACTAATTTTGAACTTGTTGTGAAAAACAAAAATGGAGTGCACACAGTTTACCCTTTCAAGTTGATGCACAAGTTTAAAGAAAATAAAAAAAAAATATTCACAACTCTCGCCTCGCCTGCCTTGTTATTGAACCCCAATGAGAACGAGTGAAACGTTGATGAGGACTCGCGTGAGGGTCCCCGTCTGAAGCAGAGTGAAGTGTCAGCTCCATTTCTGTTATCAGAACCACCACTTGTGAGTCTTGTTTCCCTCTGTTTGTGGTCCAGGATATGAGGTGTGGTCACGGCAGCAAAACCTGGTGTACAGTCATGTGGTGCAGGACTTTCCTGTTGTGTGCATTTATAAGATAAAAAAGATTTGCCATCATTGGATTTCTTTTGTTCACACACTGGGAGACTCAAAGCAGCGCTCCTACTGCTCGGTTAAATCTCAGTGCATTTGCAGAAAAAAAGCTCAGTCTGTTGGGACATGGGTTGGGAACAGGAGGGCCGCCGGTTCAAAAGTATGGAAGTTGGTCTGGTAGCTGGAGAGGTTGACGGGTTACTTCTCAGAGTACTTGAGCAATACACCAAATCCCCCAACAGCAGCTATGGCGCGCTCCCTGTGTAGCAGCCCCGACTCTGACATCTTAACACTAATGTAACCAGAAGAAACCAGAAGAAGAGAAACACTCAACAGTTCTGCTTCCTAACTTGCTTCACCTCAGGGAGATTCCTGCCAAATCTCTGCATGGCAAAAAAAAAACCTCCCTCCTGCACTCTCTCTCTTTAACACACTGTCTCTTACCCCGACTTCCACCAGATACATGTGCATTGTGTGTCTGCTCCGGTTCGTTATGGCTCCGTGCAACCTCGTCCGTCAACACCCACAGGCTGCGTTCTCCACGCGCAGCACATGCGACAGCGCTAGATAACACGATGTGGTATAAAACTATTAAACACACAGGGCCATTGTTCTGAAACGTCCAAACAGATTGTTTTATTCTGAAAATAAACCAGATGTTTAAATGTTGTTTCTGGGTCTGACTTCCCGTCCTGCTCCATCTTTTCTGTGGTAAATCGATGCGCCTTTCTCCGGCATCCAGCAAAGATAGACGCCTTGCGTATCTGCTGCGGAGGCACATAACTATCAAAGAGCACGCCTTGTAGTTTTAACGCGGTGCCACATTTCTTTCACTTCTTCTTCATTGGAAATGCACACATGGGCTCGATCACACAGGGGTGCTTCGCCCTGGGCTCGGCTGCTCCAAAACACCTGAGAACATCTGGGGGGGGGGAGCGCCTGTGGAGCGGGGTGTTTGTGCATGTGGGCGACCAAATAAAATAAGTGGGATAAAATGGATTCAAGAAAAAACATAGACCTCTCGCTGTTGCCTTGCTCCTGAACATTGAGCCGGAAATGTCATAAAAGCAGAGGTGACGCCTCCTGCTTGATTTGATCGGCTTCTTCCTGCAAAAAGTCACCTTGATGCCTCGAGCTGAAAATGCTAGAAAAATGCGTGCAGAGGAGATCACTCAGCAAGCGCCATGTGCAAAACAGAAACAATGGATTTCCTGGTGAAGTTTTTCGAGCGACACATCTCTGTGCTGATCGGGCCGATAGTTTCCCTCAGCCGGCAGCAGTGAAACAGGCTGTAATGGCTGAAACATCATCATTGGAGGCAAATATATTAGTCAGAGTCTGTCTACTTTATGTTCTTGTTTTTGTCCCTGACAGGCTCCGGTAGAGTCTGATAACTTTACAGAAAAGATTCTTACAAAGAGAGAGAGAGAGCTTCTTGTTAAAGAGGAAAGTCTTTGTTTCCAGGAAAGTGTTGTTTCACTCTCTTGAAAGCTACCAGACTCAGATAGGAGCATGAATATATCATTTTGAACACAATAGTAACACAAATATAGAATTTGTGTCCGATGTTGACCAGCAATTGAAATGTTCTGCAGCCTGAGTTTGATTGACATCTCTTTTCCCTATTTAGCGTCTCCTGGAACAGAAAGCGAACCTGTGTTTTCTTTATGCCGAGCACAAAGCCAGAAGACTTCTGTTTGGACGTCTGGACCTGCGACTGCGAAGTCATGTGACCTCCATATAAGTGTTTACCAAATAATGGTGTCAATGTGAGCTCTCATCCTAAGCCCCAGTGGACATGTTTTTGTTTGCACAGATAATTTGCGATGGACTGCAAATGGACCCCAGGGTGCTATCTTTGAGTCTTTGTAGCATCAAGTCCATTTTAGAGACAATCGTTCGTTTTTTAACACCTGACACTAAAAGTACAAAAGATGATCAATAAAGTGTGACTGATGCTGCTCGTGTTTACTCCTTTAAAGACGGTCTTGCTCAGCGGGGCCATGCTTCAGGCTGTTGACATCACCATTGGTTAGTGGACTAACATTTTACACACTCAGCAATTTTGGGTATTACAATTGTTTTTCTTATCCTTTGAGCTGGAGGTAGCCATGATTGGACCAGAGAGTTTGGACTTCAAGAGATAGACAAGTAGGAAAACATGAACGTGGAAGCTAACATGTGCTTGATTGGAAAGTTTCACCTGAATTTAGGGCACTGCGGTATTTATTGTGACGCTTAATTAAGAACTGAATCAGTATGTTATTCAGAAAGACCTAATAATCAACACTGGTTTAACGGATGTAAAAACACCAGAAAGAAACGATGATCTATGTTAATATTTGTGCTCCTTTTTAAATGTTTGATTGTCTACACACAGAAACTCCACAATGTAACAATTTGCAGATTAAAGTGTTTGATTCATTTTCTAAAAGCTTTAAAACTCGAGGATACTCTCGTCATCTAACTCGATGTAAAGCATCTGTTCAGCACTGTGAACTGGTTTGAAATGTGCTCATGAAAACCTCCTCACTCAGCAGAGACCGAACACTTGACAAGGTCAGCGCGTCACCAATCCCTGACCTCTGTCAGGCTGAAGCTCGCCACAATGACTCAGCAGAACAGAAGCCAATCAGATTAGAGTACCGTCCTCCTCACCCTGACCTCGAGGCGATGTGGATCGGAGAAGAGGAAGCTTTTTGGAGAAGCAGCAAAAGACAAACGTGCCTGTGTGTGTGTGTGGATGTTTGGCCTCCTGATGTGGAGAGGACTCTCTGATCTCAGCTGTTTGACCTCAGAGATCTGCAGGTTCGCTTCAT